TTTTGAATATGTAAACCTTTACCTTTAAGCTTTTTTTTTTACAACAAATGAGTAGGTTAAGGGACAGTTGACAGCTGCTCTAGCGAACTTTTATACTATTTGAAATGATTGTCAACAGTGCCAGAATGCCTGTCCTGAAATAAAAACTATATACTTATATATGGAAAAACTTTCAGGCAAAGACCTTATCCTATCAGTTTTGCTTGAGGGTTATCCTTAGGGACGACAGTAATGTATTTCCCAAAATGATCAGATGGTTAGCTATGTGCTAAATACTTTCTCTCTGTTGTCTTTTATATTTGTGGTTTATGTTTCTGATTTTAGTTGTTTGCTGGCTTACAGGAAGTCCTAAGCACTGTAAGCTAATTCAGATTGCTACTCAGTTCACCTATATAAAATGAGAGACAATCACAAACACCAGACTCTTGCTAATCTGTATTAGACAAATTTGAAATAGTCATATAAAATTGTCCTCATTATCCAGCTCACATCTCTCCAGTTTTCCTGGCCACTCTGTCTCACTGTGGATGGAGACAATAACACAGCCAGGCTTAGCATAAGTTTAAGTAAGAATGACAACCAGCAAAGGGCATGGTAGGATAGTAAGCTCCACTGGCTTTCCGCCACCCCCACCCCCCCACTGGCTTTTTGAAAAAGTTCAATTTAGCTAATCACTCTTTAGCAGTCTATAATATGCTTCTATTCTGGCAGAATAATAATTCCTGTCTAGGATTTCTTAAAGATCCTTTCACAATAAGCTTAAATTCTATACTACAGTCAATTTGTTCCAAAAATGGCTGTAATCATATCCCCCAGCCAGCAGGTCTTTGGCAAAGACATTTGCTACTCTTCTAAATCAGGGAATGGAATCTCTGTCTCCTCCTTCCAAATCTGGCTTGCCTTGTGACTTGCTTTAACCAGCAGAATGTGGTGGAAGTGATAGTCTATGGTTTCCAAAGCTAGGCTTTTTGACATCTTGTGGTTTCTGTTCTCATGCAGTTGGAATGCTCTCACTTAGAAAATTGTCCCAAAACTGCTATGCTGTGGGGAAACCCAAGCTAACCATGTAGAATGCTGTGCAGGGGGAAAGCCAGGTTCCCTGGTTGAGAAGCCAGGCAAGCGTAGTCTATTCCCAGAAAGTCACCCTGACAAAAGAGCCATGAGATTCCACATGAAAAACCCATCTTGTCAACCACAGAATCAAGAGAAATGATAAATCATTGTTTGAAACCACAGAGGATTGAAGTGGCTCGTTGCACAACAGATTGTCAAAATATATGCCAATATAACAATGCTTTGCATATCAGGTAGGTGAATAAGGATTTATAAAGCTAACCATTTTATTGATTGATGCTTATCCTTTCTAGGTTTCTTACTTACGCAAGGCACAGGATTTTCCTGTGTAACCAGGAGGGCAGTCACAGTTGCCAGTTTTTTTGTTGCAGTGACCTCCATTCTCACAGGATCCACAAGAGAAGCGACATTCTGGTCCCCAGAGGCCCTCAGGGCAGGCTGGCAAAATAAAGCCAGAAAGAAAAGAGCTCAGACTTGTAATGAAGCTCAAGACAGTCAAGACAGCCCCAGATTTCTGCTGTTGCCTAAGTGAGTTGGCAAATTGTGCGTGCGTGTGTGTGTGTATGTCTGAGCTACAAAGAAAGAAATATTCTAGTAGCCTCTGAGGATTTATAACACTTCTAAAAATATTCCCTGAAGAAATCAACATGATGCTATATCTTGTCACTTTGGAAACACAGATACAGTGGTTGGCTTTTTGCTGAAAATGTGGTTTTTCAGACAGTAACAATGGAAGCAATTTTGATATATATCTTTGGAAGCAATTGCACAGAACAAAACATGAAAATGAGATGTAATTTGTAAAGGAATCCCAGGAGGGATGGTGCTCAAGAAGTTGTCCCCAAACACTTGCCTAAATCCTTTCTTCCAGTCTTCACTTTTTTATCTAAGCCACACTAATCATGCCAGAGGTTTGTAGGTGGTGAGCATTATGAAAGTGTACAATTCATACGGTGGCAAAGGAGAAATTATGCAATACTTTATTGACTATCTTTTGAACTAGCAAAGGACAGATGACAGGGCAGGGCTCAGGTAGAGGTTTTAGTATATATCTGATCATCAAAACTACTCCGAAAGGAAATTTGGTGGAAAGCATTTCTTTTTGTTTTTTGGTACCAGGGATCGAACTCGGGTCCTTCAGCTTGCACAGCAGGCGGCGAAACCACTGAGCTAAATCCCCGGCCCTGGAAAGCATTTCTTCAACACTGAGAAAATGATGTAACTTTCCCAAAAGTATGGTAGTTGTAGAAAGTTATATCAAATCAAGTTAGAGTGTTATGAATCTTTTGTATTGGACAGAGTCACTGAATAACAGAATTATTACATTTTCCAGGATGTTTATATCTGATTTGTTGATCTTTTACTGTGTGTCAAGAACTTTATGTAAATTCATATTTCCATGAAAATTCTCCTATGACAACCTCATTTCCTTTTTTACATGAGGCACTGAGAGGTCGAGTGACTTACAGTACATCACAAAGCTGAACCTGGATCCTCTATCTTCTGAAAGTGGTGCTCTTAGCACTACACCCAACTTAGTCAATAAGGCCAGGCACTCAGCACCTTGCAAGTCAATTAACCTCCTTGTAGAGAACCACCAGAGTTCGATTTTTGAAGTTCATCTGATGTAGAACTACTTTAACAAAACTCTTTCTTTCTTATATGGCATGGTTGTCTCATAGACCTCCTTATGTGAACATCAGGGTCTCGGCTGAACCACAGGATCTTCTGACTCAAAGGTCTGCCTGCATGTGGAGTCCAAAATACCCCAGGCTACATTCTAAGCAACACACACCAAAGGCACTGTCTGCCTTTTAAAGAATCACTTTTTTTTTTCTATATCACAGGTTAGTTGCAGAAACCAGCTCTTCTGTTCTTTGAAGTCATTCCTCATAAGCTAAATAAGGTCTGGTGTTGATTGTGGAGAGTGCTGTTCATTAGTGCCATTGAAACAATTTGAAGTCTGTAATTAACTATTCATCTGCAATCTAGACACTGATCTGGAGTTAAGGTTTTTAAGGATATGTCTAGCTCTCGGAGCACTTGGGCTCCTTCACTCTTTTTAAAAGGAGAAAAAAAAAAAAAAAGAGGCCTGATTTTCATCACGCACAACTCTAAAAGAGCTCTTTTTGCCTTGATTTCAACTGCCAATCATGATGGCGAGACCATTCACCCACTCCAGCCTGATTCATAATTTCATTTTGTGGCTAGACAAAAATACCAGAATTGGACAAAGTTATCTGATTGAAAAATAATATATTTTCCAGTGATTATGGTGACCTCTCTATTTTGCTGATTTACATATACTTTCAACTCATTTTCTTTCACAGTGGGAATCTCAGAAGCATTTCCCAATAAAGTATATTCAGCCGCTGCTTTAAGAAAATGTTACCAGAATAAATTAAATTTACCTAGGTGTGTGGATATGGAATTATCTCCTTCTGCTCTGATTTCCAGGGAATGACTTCTCCAGTGGGGAGATTAAAAAGGGCCAACTCTAGGCTTAAAAATCAGCTGGTACAAGAGACATAGTGAGTGGTGTAAGACCCACTCTCAGACCATATTAAACAGATTCGCATCATCTCAGCCTAGTGTTTTCTCAAGCATCTCCCCTTACTTCACAGAAATTCGCCATTTGGCTACCTACATAGCTCAGTCTCCATCAGATCTATATGGACATCACCACTCACAGGCTCTAAGTCCATCTGGAGAGGACAACCTAGAATAGTCACACTCCATCTTTCATTCAGCTCCAGAAAAGCCTTGCAGATGCAGAAGATGGTGATGGAAGGAGCAGATGAAGACAAAAGAGTGTCAAAGACAACTTCCAGTCTCAGTGTCTGTCTCTGCACGTGGACTGAGGATGACAGCTCCCTTTCAAACCAGCTTCTTCTTATTTTAAACCAGATTGCCCTTTGAAGCATTGCAAAAGTGTCGTAAATTGCCATCAGTTAAGATAACTTTATTTGTTCTCTACTTAGTATTTTGTATGAAAGAGAAAAATGTTTTGATAATTTTCCCTGAATAAAATAGTGACTAGTTATTAAGGTGATATACATGATAACATAAGAAAAACGTATAGATGGTAAAAAAAAAATGAACCATACACATTTATAGATTGATTTAAAAAAACATTTCCTGAAAAATATCTATGCCAGGAAGGTTGTAGTATACTCCAGGGAAGTACAGATATCCTTCCCGAATGAAGTTCAGATTCTAGAAGGATAGGTCAGGTAATAAGTATTAGATATTTAAAAATAATTAAAAGAACGTAATTCGAGCTATGTGATATGCTAGAAGATGACAAGTACTATAGAAAAAGAAAAAGTTCAGAAAAACTTGCAACTTGAAATCTTAAATAGGGTGCTACAGATAAGATTTGGTAAAAAAAAATGATGAGAGACTTTCTGAAAACTTAGAGGAGTACTTTGAGTCTACGAGACAGGGGCAGCATTACTGACATCTTGTAACACAGTTTTCCAAATTTTATGTGCAACTACATGCATATATTTATATATTCCTTATAATTAGAGTCATACTATATATAAGCTT